TCCATCCTGATCGCACTTTCCCGCCCTCTAATTTCTTGGTCGTTTCACGGCCAAGGGATGATCCAATAGACGCGGGGACGCGGATGTTTGCGGTTGAAAATGTATGCACCCTCGCGCACCATCCCGAAATGCACCCGGGATTACACAAAAGGACGGGTCCGTGCCCGTGGTCTCTACAGGACGTGGCATAAAAAGAAATTGGTGGCGTATTACGCGACCGGCACGTTCGAGTGTATTTACAATACACTCGTAGAGCTGCCTGTTCGTCGCGATAATTGAGGCAAACACGGTGGAAAAAACTCATGAGACGCTGTATCGCGTAGAGATGTCCGAGAGAACAATCGTTGCCGATTATTTTCAAACAGCCAGGGACAGCTGTCTCGAGACAACAGTCGTCGCAATTAATGGACAATTTATGCAGAGTTTCGTTGCGAGCAGTGTGAAAGTGGAACAAGCATTGAATAGTAGTAGCAGAAGTAATGATTTCTATCGTTAATACGCAGCGGTAGGTATATTTGTCCACGTTAATTATTACGTAGTTCGTCTCTTTTAATTTAAGACTTTCCTAGAGAGACTTTTGCAGAATTCAATTCAAATATATTGAAAGTTTACAGATGTCATTTGAAATCTATTGAATCAATGGTGAATTGATTATTCAAGGTTGGTACTTTCGTCTCGAGTAAGAACACTAGCGCCTCCTAGCGAAAATTTTCATCGCAATTTTCACATCTTTTTCTTTTATTTAGGTTTTCTCGTTTTCCCAAATTGTGGACTGCTCAAACATTCGTAGCTGATGAACGATTTTTGCAGAATTCTAACATTCTCACAGATATGTTCTATTAAAAGTTTACAGATGTCATTTGAAAACTATTGAATCAATGGTGAATTGATTATTCAAGGTTGGTACTTTCGTCTCGAGCAAAAACACTAGCGCCTCCTAGCGAAAATTTTCATCGTAATTTTGTTTTACATTCTTTGCCTTTATTTAGGTTTTTTCGTTTTTCCAGATTGTGAACGGCTAATGAACGAGCCCATTAAAAGTTCACAGATGTCATTTGAAATCTATTGAATCGATGGTGGATTGATTATTCATAAGGTTTGGTACTTATGTTTTCATCGTAATTCCGTCCTAGATTCTTTTTCCTTTGTTCAGATCATTTTCGTGTTTCCAGATGGTATAAACACGTTTGAGCCGATGAACGACTTTTGCAGTGACCTGTAGGTTCCGCGGGAAGACGAGAGGAAAAAGAAAAGAAAGGAATGCAATTACGTCGGCCACATACTGCCGGTGTGGTTGGCGGTGGGGGGGCGGTATGACGCGCGGGGGCGGCCGCAAAAGCCGACGACATATTCATGCGTGCGTTATTATGCGAGGGAGCCGTGAGTGCACTCGAGAGATACGCGCACGCGTTCCACGACGTCCAATTAACCGTACGCATTTCGACACCAAAGGAATTTCACGCGCGTGGCCGCATAAATTTCCCAAGATTCACTTCCGATACGCTCAAACACGGCAATTCTGCTCGCGTTGCTAAGAAATAAAACAAAGCACTTTAGTAAGCATGTTTATATCCTTGAGATTAGGCGCACCTGTTTCAGAGCGCGTTGACATTACATTAATGTAATATATAGGGTGGGCCAAAAAATCACTTCCTGCTAAAATAAATCCGTAACTTTTTCATTATGTGTACTTTTTTTTTTTTAATCTGCCAGCGCTCTGGCGGTCAATTTTCGAAGTTTGAACTTGAATTCAATTTATAGTTAATAAAATTAGTTTTTCTCTTATATTTAAGAAAATGGCGGGAAGTAACTTTTGGCCCACTCTGTGTACTAAGCGTTCAACTATCTACCTGAAAGTTCTAAAAGAACCTTAATTATCTTTAACAATATTAACCCTCTGCGAATATTTTTCTTATAAAAAACTAATGTAACGTAAAATCAACAAATATCAATCTATAAATACAGATTAACAATGAATTCAGCAGTTTCAACGAGTTTGTTATAACGAATAAAAAAAACTGACATTTCAGGACAGAGGTGATAACTTAATAAGACATTGAAACATTGTCCACAAGATGTGTACGCCATCTTGTGGAAAAAAGTTCAATTATTTAATGAAATATTCACATATTAGTATGTGACTTGAAAGTTACACGGGCCCGTATTAGTGAATTAAATGATATTTAGTGGGAGTTACGAATGATTCTCTATCCAGCTATGATGAATGATTCCCTCTAACCTAAAAGAATGCGAACGTCGACGCGCATGTGACCTTAGCATAGTGTATGTCTAAGCACTCATAGTGAGAAAATTTCACGAACGACACGTTCCTGCTGGTTGTCCCGTCGCGTCGACGATCCATTTCCCGTCTTTGGGACGAGGAGGCTCCCTCCCTCCCCTCTCGACGCATCACCCCCTATCCCCTGTGTCTCTTTGGCACGGGACACACAGATGCGTCCCTCCATTTTGCGCTCGCATTGTTACTCCAAGTGCAGTCTCCCCATTGTTACAATGGCTGGCCACTCCTGGCATTGTTGCCGGTATTGTTATTATTATCGCTACTGTTACCGGTTGCGGCCGACCGGCGAATGGAGAAGAGGAGAGCCCAGCTGCTTCGTCGAGTGTCGCATTAGAGGCAAATTACACTCCCTCCGGCCCGCCTCCTGTCTTATTCCCTCTTTTTTTTTTTTTTCTTTTTCACCATGTCGCGCTAGGTCGGCTGTTTCACTTCTTTTTTTTCCCTCTCGGTTACACTACGTTCCACCCCTTTTTTTTCTCTCTCTCTCCGTGCCTGAAATTTCGAACCGGTCGATCGGTTCGATCGGACACATTCTCTTTTTTTTTTTTTTTTTACCTTCTCTGACACTGTCATTGTGCTTTCTCAATGTTTTCAGATCCCCTTCGATCTCGAAACGATCTGTTTCGATAGCTGCGCGCGATTCGACGCAGTGGAATTTCCAGCCTGGAAATAATCTGCGAGTCGAGTCGAAGTGGGCGGGGTGGGGTAACGAAAGCGCCGCCAACGAGAAATCGACCGTCAACCGAGAGATGTATAATTAATCGTAGGCCGCTGTGCACGAATTTAAACGAGCAATTCGGTGCACGAAATTGATCGCAACAATTTAATCGCGAGAGGGCCGGGTCTGCGACGGGTCTCCCGTGCAAATTATACCCCGGCTAGCAGTTACAACAAGTTTAAAGCTCGTTAAAACGCGAAAGACCGACCCGCGGTGCAAGAGAGAGAAGTTAATTAGAAGGAAGTAAAAAAAAAAAGGAGAAAGAGAGAGAGGAAAAAGGAAAGAGCAAAAATGAAACGTGAGACGAAGGGAGAAAGGATGGAAAGAGAGAGAGAGAGAGAGAGAGAGAAAGGAAAATATATCAAGGGGGACTTAGACGGCCAACCACGCGGCTGTCGTCGACTGGCGAGCATGGCGGAAAAGGGAGACATTAATTAAAGTGCAAAAACGCGAGAGGCGGCGATCAAAAGTTAAATAATTAATAGAAACGGTTCAGGCGAGATCGCGGATTAATGAAAAAAAAAAAGAAAAAAAAGAGAAAAACATCACCACCGAAGTGCGGGGAATTCGCAAGTCTCGAGACCCACGGGCGAAACAACTACCGGCTCGCCTTCCATTGTTCCCTGTCAAACAATGACAGGATTGCGGGTTATTGTTAAGCGCCAGCCAAATCGCTCTCTTTCTGTTTCGATCGCGAAGTGAGTCCCGAAGATGATCAAATTACGTAAATATACCACGCAAGTGAGTCTATTTTGACTAGTCGAGCACTGGTAAACTACAACAAGAAAGTTGTGACCACGTTGTTTTCAGAAGTTGAGTGCACTAATTTGACAGATGATCCAATACTTTGAAAATAAAGTAAAGCTTGGAAGAGGTCGCAGAAAAACCATTACGTTCAAGATGTGTTCAGCATTTTTGAAGAATACATGTGAAACAGTTTGAAGATAAGTACTGCAAATTCTTCTTCCACTTTGGAATTAAAAGGCGACAAGTATGTCTCTATGTTACTTGAGATTTTGAACCCATTTTCGCAAAAACTCAATTTATATTTTAGTGATGAAAGATTATTGTTTTCAGAAGATGCGCTGACGAAGAATTGAGTCCATTGCATTTGACAAACGAATCAATACTTTGCAACTAAAGTAAAGTTTGAATGACTACATCACAAGACCATTAGGTTCAAGAAGTTACATTCAGTGTTTCTAAAAAATAAATATGAAACAGTTTAAAGATGGATTCTTCTTTTACTTCGAAATTAAGAGATGAGAAGTATGCCTCTACAACTCGAGATATTGAGTTCCTCTTTCCAAAAATTCCATTTATATTTTAGTGATGGAAGATTATTGTTTTCAAAAGATGCGTTAACGAAGAATTGCACTGCACGAATCAATACTTTGAAGATAAAGTACAGTTTGAAGATAACAAGAAATCATTCAGGTTCAAGAAGTATTCAGCGTTTTTAAAAATAAATATGAAACAATTGGAAGGTAGGCACCTAATTCCTTTCACTTTATGAATTAAGAGAGGATTAAGTATGACTCCATTACTTGAGATTTCGAACCCCCTCTTTCGCAAGAACTCTATTTATATTTTAGTGATAAAAGGGAGGAGGAGATTGAAAGAGAAGGGGCTGCTTTGCAAATATTGTTCCACCTCCGAGCAAAACCTGTATAAACGTTCTACACTGGCTGTGTACGGGCCAGAAAGGAATATTAGATAGTTCTATATGCACATTCATAGGATATGGATTCGGGCATCCAGAGTAAAGCTCGCTATAAATTTGCTCGTCCATCGAGCAAGCCTTTAATACTGTTTACGGATGGCTCGCGCCGTTTAAGGTATTTTCTCCTTATATGCAGATCCTGTTCTTCGCATCGTGCGATGTAAAAGTCGACTTTGGGCCGCAGTAAATGTAACGTTCCGAATTTTAGGATCGATCGGGCCGAATGTTTTCTGACTAAACATTATGCAGCTGCACAATGTTGGAGTGACTATCAAATAACCAAAGTAGTATCAATGTCCAAGGGAAATATTGTTTGATGTTTTATTGCCAAAAAGAACGACGTGGGTGGGTGTAGTTGAAACAAAGGAATATTATTCTACAGCGAGAGATCGAGAACGCAAGAACGATTATTTAGTAATTTGACTGAATGTTGGGAAATCTAAAATCCAAATTATTGGAGGAGGCAAATAGAAAATCTGCTTCCTCCTACTACGTGAACAGGCATGGAGATTATTTAAACAAAGAAGACTCCTCGTCCTCCCCCAAAGAAGATACGTGAAAAGAAGACGAGCAAGTTCGATGATTTAGAGTGCGAGCTTTGCGATTCAACCCATGGAGATAATCGTAATAATGGGTTTGCCTACCACCGAATCTACCCTCTTCGACTTTACGCGGAAACTTCGAGAGCGGGAGCACCAAGCAGGACTTTGTGCTCTGTGAGTTCTATATAGTGCAAACACGCGAGACGATTCAAAGACGGCACCTTGGCCAAATGATCGACAGGAACTCGTCTCTCTCTTTTTTGACACGTGACACGTTCTCCTTCCTTTCTTCCAACGGCATTTATTCGATTTTCCGAACAAAAAATACTCCGAAACGTAAGCACAAAGAAGTTAAATTGTCTAACAGCTAATATCTAATTAATTACAAAAACTTGTATAAACAGATATGATGTCTGTAGGTGAAAGCTAATTTGTCATGTGAAAAAAGGAAGAAAGATCGTCTTTGCTGGAAAAATCAGAGACTCTTCTTGCATTTAAGATTCATCAGTTAATCACGTTAATCACTAAAATGGCACCGAAAATTCGACAGAATCATAAGTACAAAGAAGTTAAATTGTCTAATACCTAGTATCTAATTAATTACAAAAACTTGTATAAACAGATATTATATTTGTAGGTGAAAGCTAATTTGTCATGTGAAAAAAGGAAGAAAGATGGTCTTTGCTGGAAAAATCAGAGACTCTTCTTGCGTTTAAGATTCATCAGTTAATCAGGGAACTAAAATGGCACCGAAAATTCGACAGAATCATAAGTACAAAGAAGTTAAATTGTCTAATGTCTAGTATCTAATTAATTACAAAAACTTGTAAACAGATATTATATTTGTAGGTGAAAGCTAATTTGTCATGTGAAAAAAGG